ATTACCGAGAAAAGAGAATAAACTACCGAAAAGTCTTTAGCCTTGAATACAATTGCCGTAGATTTTTCGTACGAATGATTATACTGTAAACGAGTACTTACTGCAAACAGGAGGAGTTCCGTTCCATTGTTTATCCTCCTTACACGTCCGAACCAAATTACCCCTTATTCTTTCATATCCCGTGTCACACTTGTACGTTGTCTTTTCAAGATAATTTGAACCAGCCTGTGAAGATATTACGGCAAAAGAAACAAAAGACGGATTTGGACATTTCACTGGTGCTAAAATGATAAGAGTGCTTATTTTATCGTCAACATTAAGAATGTGTTTAAAAAAAATCCTTGACATGATTTGCATGATTAAACAATAAAAGTTGCTGACAAGGACGACGTTTTTCATTAATAGTTGGTTCTAACTCTTCATATACTTAACGGTTAAACATCAATAATTCACGTTTTATTCACATTAAGACAATATGTTAGCACAATTCTCAAAAGATGGGAATGTTGTTCCGTGTAAACCCATTCGAAAGTGCCAAATGAAACATTTATCATATACAAATTGATACGCCCACATTATAATAAGAAGAAACAACTTTTTATTATGGGATATAATATGATATTAAATTTTTCACCCCTGAATCAATGTTACCTACACTTCATATAAAACAAATGACGAATGACCAGTCAGTTAATGTAAAATAGTAATAGCCAATGTTTCAGGTTTTTCTGGACATGTACTGATATAAACAATCGTATAAAAAAGTTAAAGTTATATAAATTCTGATCTGATCAAATCAGAGTTCCATAATGTTTATAAAAAAAAGTTAATGTACTTTGCAAAAGAACAAAGAATGTTTTCGATTCGTTATCATGAGAAATAATATGATATATAATAATTAAATATTTAAAAAATTATTTAGCAAAGCTAAATTTTAGATGCAGTTACCGTGTAGAAAAACTGTTCGTGTATGTTATATGAGACGTGTGGTTAAATCACCAATGAAACCATCGAGTATAAAACTTGGGTTTCAAATAGGCGATTGTCACTGTTTCTATGTACTGTTTCGACTCTGCTAAACGGCACAATATAATCGACCGTCTAAAGGCTGGATAAACCCAAAACTTATGTCGCCCGACAGTTTAACGTTTCACCAGAGCACAATGTCCAGCCTTGATCAACTATATGCAATGCTATTGACCTAAAGAGCTTTTTTTCTTGTTCAGCAGAGAAATGCCAGGCTCCATATAGCAAGGGTAATCATTTATTTCCTAACTCAATAAAACATTAAATTATTGACATGATCCTCAAAGTCGCTGGACTTGAACCCCATATAACTTATTGGGACGAGTGTCGTAGAAGCGGCGTCAACCTTTAACCATTGGACCAGAATTTGCAACATGAATGGCAAAGGATATTGCGGATCCAAATACAAAGTTTTGTTTGATCAATGCCCTACAGATGAAATGCATGATTATTTTGTTCGTCCTTTTTGCATTTCGTTTTATATATTTCTTTTTTGTTTTGGAATAGTTTATTTTACTTGTTGTAACTTCAGTAAAATGTGTTTGGAAATCCGTACCAAAACTAGTTATCTGATTGCTGAAAAATTAAAAGTAAGAATAAACTTGATAGCAAGACAATGCATTTATTCTTGGTATTTCTTTGGCAAACTGCAAGATATGCATTTGACACTCACCACATTTAATAGGAAATCCTTCCCAATAACCATCAGATCGACAAGTTAACAATGTATCCCCAGAAATAATTTCATATCCTACAGCACAAGAAAACGTTATGGTATCATCTAGTTCATTCCCTGTTGCAATGATTGTTGTATGAGGCACTATGTTCGGGAAGTCACATGTCATCACTTTTGAATAGAAGATGTAGTAATAGTTCTTTACTTGATTCAAATATACTAAACAACAGAAGAAAAACACCACCTCCATTCATTTCTTTGGAGTAAACATTTCGATTGATTATAACATAAAAAAAATGATTGAAATGAGTCAAAATTCTGACACAATGTTTATAAAGCCATAAACATTAAATTCTATGAAAATGAGATTTGTTTTAATCTTAAATTTTGACATCTCAAAAAACATATTTTCAACCAAAAACCAAAAAAATAATGCCAAGTGTGTGAAAAATTAAGTCATGTGTACTTTTTCAACCGAAAACAACGAAATTAATTTGATTTTCAGTTTCTTAATCAAATTCTTGTCTTTTGACAAATTTTAAATGTAATTATCTCAAAATTTTTTTGATATTTGACTTTTGAACTTGAAATCTTCATTATCGCCACTAAAATAAAATTGTCTATGTAAAGTCTGCATTAATTTCAAGATTATGATTAAAATGTAATAGATTTCTACAATTTGAAGCAAAAAAAAAGAAATTTTGAAACTGCTATATATGGTTATATGTGGTGCGTTATTTGTGTCGTTAAGTATAATCATTTGTTTCATATAACAGATAACTAACAACACATATTATAGATATTTCAAGTAAATTCTCCTAATTCCAATTTCCAAAAAACAAATGAATTAGTCCTATTGAAAGTATATCAGTTTGAATACAAAGGCATTATGTCTACAACCAAAGTCATTGGATAAAAGATGTAACAAGTGCTGAAACATGTGAAATATGATTTGGTTCTTCTGTTCTATTAGTTTTGTCCAATCTTTTAGCTTAAATGGGGAATAATCCATTTTGATTTTATCAACTTATTGCTGATATTTCAAAAAAGAAGAATTAGCCTTACCCGTCGTGCAATTGTCATCCTCCCATCCAGGAGCACACGTGCAGTTAAAGCTGTCTGTCAAATCAACACACGTGCCGTTGTTCTGACACGGGTTTGGATTGCACATGTCATCTAAAGATAAATTACAGAGTAAATTCAATTCTTCACTTTAACATATATATATATATATATATATATAAGAAAATCTGTCATAAATTTGTCACATGTTTAGACGTGTATAATAAAATAATTTGAGGTGGCGGCATGGTAATTAACATCTTCCTTTACGACAGACAAAATAACTGATGTGAAAGGTACACCATCTACTTACCACTATACAACATGTACTGTGTTACCATCCTAGATGAAGCCGACGAGGAAAGGCATTACATCAACCACCAAAAGCTATATTTTTGTATGGCCTAGGTGGTCGAGTGGTCAAGGGCGCTTGACACGGCGCAGGAGGTGTTGCTACGATGTCACAGAAGCAAGGGTTCATATCCAGCTAAGGGAAAAACAACAATTTGCTAACGAAAATTTGAAGATCTAACATTGTTGGGCTACATTTGAGACGAATTATATATATATATATAAAATATACTTTTTCACTTTTTTGGTCTTTTGGAAAATGTTGTTGGTGCTGTATTTAGACCCCTTTACCAAGAACTTTGTTTTGCATGCACACGTATACAAATTGCGGTTTTTATCCAACGCAATCATAGGTTTGAACGTTGTTTTTAATTTAGACTTGTATATTTTTTCGTTTGGGCTTGTATTATATTTGCCTTCGGGTTTATATGATCCGTTCATCCTATTTTGACTCCTCCAAATTCAAGAGTCTATCCTAAAATGAGGTGATTTTTTAAATACCGTTTCGATTCCTAACATCACTGAAGAGACATTAATTGTCGGAATCCGGATATGGTGTACGAAAACCTTTGCACCTTTTGTTTGCGGTACACCATTTTTTCCGCAAGTTTATTGTTTTCTGTTTAGTATTAAATTTATAATTAAGATCCATTTATTACATCGGTGATCCGTTTATTTGGCAATCGCCAATAGCAGTCAGCAGGGTTTGAAAATATATATATAAACAAGTCTTAATTGAAAACAACGTTCAAACTTATGATTGCGTTGGATAAAAACCGCAATTTTTATACGTGTGCATGCAAAACAAATGTTTTGGTAGAGGGGTCTAAATACAGCACAAACAACATTTTTCAAAAGACCAAAAAGTGAAAAAGTATATTTTAACAAAGCACATTATATATATATATAGATTCAACAGGAAAAACGTTATCTCGAATTTACCACCAGAACCGTTTAGAATTCTACTAACATGATGGCCCGAAGTACTTTTAACTAAAAAAAAAGGTAGTAAAATTGTGTTTACCAAGGTTTACTGCTTTATATTACACATTAAAAGATACCACAGACAATTGTTATTTAATTGACAAAAAAAAAGGAGCAAATTACAAAGATCAAACATAATAGTCTAGCAAAGGATAGGAAACACCGTCACAGCACCGTCACCAGACGAGGAAGAGCAGTTTACAAAGAACATAGAACACTAATGATTAATATATACTAAATTGATATTGTAGATAATTGTGGATTAAACATGATTTTATAGATAAATAAGCCTCTCTGTTGTATGACAGTTGCATAGAAGCTATGGCAAACACGAAAAGCAACGAAAAAAGGGACAACTACACAAGGAATTGCATAGAAAATTAAACAATACTAGCTAAGATATGTTTCTTTGAAGAAAGTTAGAGTTGAAAATCGTTTAGTTAAAGTCGTTTGGACTGGACTTGTATAATTTATTATAATATGAGTTAAGACACGTCACTGTACCCAACCACTGGGTCAATGGCACTACTGGTGGAGGTTATCTCCCGGATGGTTTTACCAGCCCAGCACTTGTGTGTTGAAATAAAGAATCATTGATAAATATAAATGAACTGTTTACAAAACTTTAATTTTTTTGAAATATATAGGATTTCCATCCCCTGGAAGATATTACCGAAGCTTTTTTTTGGAAAAACCTATCGGAATTTTGGGTCCTCAATGCTCTACAACTTCGTTCTTTATTTGAAATTAGAAATTGTTTGATCCAAGCGTCATTGATGAGTCTGCTCTACAAAATTTTAATCCTGGTATGTATGTTGAGTTTATATACCGTCCTTATCACAACGTTTGAAAAAAATTATAGTTAACTCATTGTGAAAAGGAATGAAAAATCATAACATACCCACGTCACAGGCACTGTCCCATGGTTCACACAAGGATGCATCATTTGGCAAAACGTCACTGGTGCCTGACATGAAAGTATAAGACACATAACAATTATTGACGTTTCATTTAACCTGTGAGTTTTAAGTTGACATTTTGAGGTTTTTGCGTAAAAACGAATGTACAAATAATTACATTACAGATTATGTGCCATTATGACCAACTAATAATTTTTCTTAGAAGTTGTCACTTTCCATGGACATGGAATTTAAGTATTACATAGATATTGTTATCTTTCATTTGTCTTTTTTCTTTGCACCAGAATTGCATTTTTTTGAAGATGTTCTGCATAGAAGTAACACAGGTTAGATACATTATTCTTTATACAATCACAGAGACAAAGCAAAAAACTCAACCTTTATTCAATACAAGATTCACAGTTGTATTCCTGACGCTCTTGAGTTTATACTTATAAGATTTATATAGTTATACAGCCTAGAAAGTATCGCAACTGTTTAATGTAATTGCTTAATGCATATTAGAAAAGCAATTTTTCATGTCTATAAAGTTAGACCTTAATTATAGTGTGTTAAATTGACTACCAACTACGATGTCGATCAAATATCGTACGCAGTTGAGTTTTGAAAGTCGAAATAAATGACAAAGCCATAGCAATACACAAAAAAAGTCGAACAGGCATGCAAGGCAAAACACACTGCAAAGAAAACTCAAGACTGAGCAACAATGACTCTACCAACAACCGGGGGAGATCTTTGACGCTCTGAAATGGTAAAATTGATAAGAAAATAACATATAACTCTATAATTTGCTATATCAAAAACTCATTGTATGGACGTTTTAATATTTAAATTGTATTCTGAGGTCGTTTGACTTTTTTAGGTAGTTTAAATTTGCAGGATTCATTTATGCTGAACTACCTATTGTAAATTAAATGTTGGATTAATCCCGACTTGAACGTGCATGAAATTATTTCCGCTTTAGCTTAACCAAGCAACAATCTACAATTCAATCATTTAGTTCATAAATAAAAAATTGGATTGTCTGTAAAGCATATGCAAATGTCTGAAAATACTGAGTTTAATTGGCTATTGATTTTTAAAATGTCATCTCTCATGGTACATGTTCAGATTGCGAATTAATATACTTCCTTAATCAATGAGGTTAAACATCGGCATACGTCTTTTTTAATCTTCTTTCCATATTCAGTTCGTTTAATGGTATGCTTTGAGAGGTATACGAAAATACATATTTTTTTTCAATTAGCAATATTAATTATTAAAAAAGAAAGGCGAAATATATCAAAGAGATACATAAACTTTTAAGTCGAAAACAAACTGACAATGCCATGGCAAGAAATGAAAAACTATCAAAAGAGGAACAGTAAACGAAACACAAGATAGAAAACTAAAGACTGAGCAATAGTAACCCTTACAAAATACAAGTCAAAATACTAGCAATCAATCTTTCTTTTGAAAATTCTCCCTCCTTTGTTATTTAAATAACACACAATACACTAGATAGCAACTCAATTTATAATGGAAACAGCCAGGTTGATCTTAACACCTCATTCAAGCTGAACAATAATAAGTACGGAATATTTAGTTTTAGTTTAGAAATTGCAGAATTATCCAGTGCAGTATAATTAGTTCTGTTCAGACAATCCGCTTGCAGTCAATGAAATCCGCAAATTCTAGATTCATACTGTTCAGTACATGCTAGATACCTGTTCAAAACAACAACCATCTGATAAGTCTGAACAGTTTCTTAACGCTACTGGATTGAATGCAAGCAAAACTTATGAATAGTACTCAAGTTACAACAATAACATATCTGAAAATTATTTTCATTCTTAACAAATCTTATCATTCCAGTTTCAAAACTATCTGATGATGTGAAGATAAACATAACCATTTGAGATCAAATTTAGTTTGACTAGACTAAGTATAACGAGTTTATCTTTTTTTCCGAAAACAATACTGTCATTTAGAATTTTTAAATGAACATATCGCTGCGAATAATGACAGAAATTACTGTACAACTGACAGCATGCACCATGAACTCCCAAAACTCCTCCTAAAACGTACATAGAAAAAAAACTGTTTCGTATGATTGCAGATGTATGAATAGATCGGTTTGGAGATGAGCCAATTTTTGTGCACAAAAATACCTAATTTGCATATACTATATCATGTATAGTAAATATGTAGCATAAGAAATATTCAATAAAAAAGCATATGATCTTAATTCATTATGCTCAAAATGTATTGAACCGAAAAATATGGGTCAAAATCTGTCTTAATTCTACACATATTTCATATAGTTCACATCAAGCAAACATCTTTATTAAGACTTTGTGTCCAGGTGATGTGATCTTACATTCATGGTACTAGTATACTACCTTGAACATACGGGACGAACTAAATAACGAATGGAAGCGCACACTAGAAACATAATTCCCGTTACTCATATAAACTGTCAGAGGATATATATCTATAGTACCTTGTCTTCTTAAGGTGCGAATTTTCGGTGAATCTGTGTATTGACACACAGTACTACTCATTGGGTCATTATCAGTTGACATAAATGCTCTCTCATTTGGAAATATGCTAGTGTTTATATCTGTAAAAGGAAGATATTGAACTTGATATTTAAATGTAAACATATACAACATATACTTTCTTATAATCGAACAGTCATAATAATTCTCTCTCTCTCTCTCTCTCTCTCTCTCTGTCTCTCTCCATCTCTCTCTCTCTCTCTCTCTCTCTTTGACCTAAGTAACAAGCGATACGTATTCATTGTTTATTTTAAATGAAAATACCACCTTATTAATTTCGTGAGTCCGAATTGCATTTCTGGATTTACCTTCACCAGAAACGCTGAAATCTAAACATTTGAGAGCCGATGATGTATATAACCTAAACACGTGAAGACATTCATCTAAGATCTACTTTGCCTACGGAAGTTGAAACCTTAGTTTGCTCGAGGATGTCACCAACTCAGTAGTCAGTATTTGGTACTGACATGATTTATGACAAACCTTTCTAAAATTGTCAGTTAATACATTTTGAAATTATAAAGAAACTAAAAGTTTCAACTCCCTCAGGCAAAGTTGACCTTAGATGGATTTGGCTTTTTTTTAAGTCCTGTTTGGTAATATTCTTTCGAAAAAAAAAGTTTTTTTTTACATGTGTACAATAATTAAATTATACGTTACACGCCGAGACACTGAAATAGCTGATCGAAAATATAAAGAACACAATATCACAAGCAAAAATTTGATCAGACATTAAAACCAATTTTTGAATATTAGAAAAAAAAAACGTGTGTTTTTCCTCTTGGTTCTGAAATAGACAAACATTATTGCAGGATCAAAGTTATCAAACAAATTAATAAAATTCATTTAAAAAATCTATTTTTATCACCTCTGGCATGGGCGAGTGAGGGAGTTAATGGTTCGAGGTTAGAATGAGGTGTCCGGGTAGGTTGACATGTCTTCCAGCGAACTGTTTCCTTATGATTAGAACATTAATCCAGCTCAGCGTTTCAGTCTAATACAAAACAGGATCTATATAATCACAATATCACATTATTACGTTCTCCTCCTGAATATTCATTTAATTTGCCACTGGACGTTGAACAGCCGTCTCTTATCGTCATTATTTTCTTTGATGTCTGAATTCAAAAGTGTAAACTTTCATAATGGACGATAATCATTGCTAATCTATTTAGTACTGAACGGTTCTATTTTTGCACGTACAATTGTTCAGGTCCATGAGCTTACTATCTGAATGCGTACACTCGGAACTGGTTACTATCGTGCAGACAGTTTTCCGAATGACAGAGATAATTGGATGGTCAAACTAGATGAATTTCTTTATGGTTTTCATTACTGACTTTAGCAATGTTTCTTTGTATTTTGATAATACTGTCTTGATATAAAGCACACTTGTCTAAACTATTTGAAGTTAAAAACAATCAATAATAGTTTATGGTTTCGAGCGATTTCAGGTAATATTCTTTGTAAAGCACAAAAATGTTGTCATTCACTTCAAAAGCTAACCAAACCTTTAAAAAGACTTATTCGGAAGGGATATAGTTACGTTACTGTTGTAAGGTCATTAAGGATTGCATATTTTGGTATTAATATTGATTCACTCGTAGGGTCTTTGCATCGGAAATAAACACATTTATTCTAAAACCAGTTGTTGGCATGATACGGGTTATGTTTTTCTCATATATTTTATGATGGTATGATACTAAACCCTTAACAGGAGGGATTGTACTTGATTTTCATATGATGAAGACATAATATTTCAATCAGTTTAAAAGAGGGACGAATGATACCAGAGGGACAGTCAAACTCATAGATCGAAAACAAACTGACAACGCCATGGCCAAACATAAAAAGACAAACAGACAAATGATAGAACAGATGACACAACATAGAAAACTAAAGACTAAGCAGCACGAACCCCACCAAAAACTGGGGGTGATCTCAGGTGCTCCGGAAGGGTGAGCAGATCCTGCTCCACATGTTGCACCCGTCGTGTTGCTTATTTGAGGTCTGGAGCTTGCATGTCAGTAACTGCTAGTAGTCCTTTGTTAATTTATGTATCATTGTCGTTTTGCTTTTTTTCTTTTGTTACCTATTCTTACATCGGACTCAGACTTCTTTTGAACTGAGTTTTACTGTGCGTATTGCTATGTGTTTCTTTTTTCTACATTGGCTAGATGTATAGGGGGAGGGTTGAGATCTCACAAAACATGTTTAACCCCGCTGCATATTTGCGCCTGTCCCAAGTCAGGAGCCTCTGGCCTTTGTTAGTCTTGTATGTGTTTTTAATTTTAGTTCATTTATATGTTTTGGAGTTTAGTGTGACGTCCAATTTTACTGAACTACATGTAATACACAATTTTTGTTAGGGGCCGGATGAGGACCACCTCCGGGTGCGGGATTTTCCCGCTGCGTTGAAGACCCATTGATGGCCTTCGGTTGTTGTCTGCTCTTTGGTCGGGTTGTTGTCTCTTTGACATATTCCCCATTTCAATTCTCAATTTTAGGTCTATTTGGGTTCGTAAATTACAAGATTTAGGCTAATTAGTTGTTTTTCCTTAAGATAAAGGGATAAATTTTAAAAATATATTAAGAAAAGTAAGCATTCGAAGGATTTATATGAATATTTGAGAGTTTGACAATAATCAAAACGAATGACAAATCGTTTGGATGCAAATGTGAAAATCAAGTTTTTTGGCTTAAGGTAAATCCCTCAGTAAAAATCTAAAATTTATACAAAAATTGAAGAGCTGATATAACCAAAAAGGACAAACAGTATAGTCAAATAGGGCAAGATATCAGAGCTTTGTATGAAGGGGATATAATCCTTAATAAAGAATAGTGTCCAAAATTTAGTAATATCTAATTTCAATGATACAATATCTGTATTTGCATGCCAGTACCGAAGTACTGGCTTCTGGGCTAGTGTAAACCCCGGAGACCAACGGTTCATTAGCAGATATATCGACCTAGTGGTAGAAATAACATAAACGGTTCCAATTTTACTGCACCAGATGCGGATCTCAGCAGAGCTGTTTAAATCAAAAAGGACAAAAAGTATATCCAAAGCTGGGTAATCGTTGATGTGCATTTAAACAGATGCAGTGAAAATGATTACTATGTGATAACTGACAAAAAAGGGTAAAAAAAAAAATTAAAAGGAAACATTTAGCCTGTTGCAGGTAAGATTTAATAGTTATGGTTCTCATATTGTTTGCTTGAACATGTTTAAAAAGCATGTAAATTAAATTAAAAAAAAAAGGATTTTTTTTATAGCTTTGGTTTTAGAAATTAAGACATGTAAGAATAAAACTTAATATATAAATAATATTGGCATAAATTCAATTTCTAAACATACACCTGCTGTTTGTTATATAATATATGTGCATGTTGTATTTGAACATAATGGACATAGACCAGTATTGTGTCAGTATTCTATTTATACTGACAATTTACTTTCATACAAGCTTATTTACTATACATTTTTCTGTCGATATATTTGATTTCGGCACATGTGTTTGTATGTATTTATGAGTATATATTATGTATTTGTAACTAAATACTTGATGTCGCACATCTGATTTTTGTTTCCTTTCTAATTGGATGGTCTCTGGTTTCCGAAATTAAATGTAAGGTTTCGGTTTATTCTAATATATATGGGAGTGAAATCACTAACCTGACAAAAGATGAAAGTAATATAAATTGGCTGTAATTTTTGTCAATTTCATACAAAGGTATAGCCTAAAACTTCCGGACATCGGTCCACTTGTAAAGCTTTTGTCACTTCTGAAACATTTAATCATCAAAACTATACATGTGAGAATGACATTCTAAAAGCTATTCAATTATAGATTATACAATAGTTATTCATATTTATGAACATTTATAGCCCAAAGCGAAGTCTGACCAATTTAGAACATATACTTCAAGTGGCTATACAGATTAATCCTGTCCCATTGTTCATCAAACCTTAATATGAGACCACTTAACAGTGTTTTTAAAAGAAATGTAAGTCATCTTTAATGGTCATTTCAACAGAAGCAATAAAATTGAAAAACTTTGTGCGTGTTGTATGTAAGATTCAATACTTAGGCTTTTCAAATTGTTTGTTTTAAAAAGCATGAAAATCAACTTTTCAAAACTGATTTGTTTTTCTACATTTAATGTTTGGTTCAAGTAAATAACAATGAAACTTAATTTATATATTATAGATAAAAAAAAAGACGAATCGTCCCGATGTGACAAGGTTACTTTCATTTTTTTTATATTTTTAAAAATAGCCAATGATATATTGTAACAGCTATGCACTATAAACAATAGAAAAGAAAATTACATTTTTTTTAATTGGACGAGACGACGTGAGTATGTTCTGACAGCCAATTACTACAGTAATTCCATACTAGACACAAGGGCCGAGTGTTCTAAATAGTCGAACTAGGTTGTGAGTTCGAATCCAGCACGTGACAGGTGCGCTCGACTCCAATATTAATTGACTAGGATTGTTTCCTACCAAAGGTTGTAAGTTCTCTCCGGTCACTCCGGTTTCCTCCAACAATAAAAACTTATCGCCACGAAATAGCTCAATAGCGCTGAAAGTGCCGTTAAAGACCAGGCAATCAATCAAACAAGCATTTGAAATGTTCTTTCCTTTTTAACTAACCTGGGGCTAGTATCATGAAGTAGTCTTAGTGCTTAAAATAATCTTACATTTTCATATCTGCAATGAGTTTATCCAGAAGTGATCATATGATTGATAGCCCTTGAAATTACAGTCGCACGCGAAACCCTTAAGTGTGATCTTTTCCTTCTTGGATCGCTCTTTTAGTCAAATAGGTATCTCAATAGAGTTTAGAAATTGACACATGCTGACTTCTTTTTAAGTCATATATTCGATGCCAAGTTGAAGTTGAAGTTGAAGCTAATCATAATACAATTTAAAAATAAATCAAAATTCGAATCTCGTGTCTTAATTTTTCCATCTCCTATGTCGAGTAAGGCATGAGTCCAAGCTTGATTTTGAGTTCGCGCTGATACAATAGCTTGATACTCATTTTAGTTGGATATATATTTTTGTTTCATTGACAATCATGCAATATCTTATGTTTTTGTGTATACTAAAGTTTCACTTCGATAACGTATTTGCCATGTTTCAAGCACATTCGCAGAAACACTATGCCGACTGCCCGACTTCTTATACGTATACGAGAAGAGTGTCTTAAAGTTGTATCAAGAAAAAGAAGATCAAGGAAGTCAGTTCGTTTAATTTCACGTACATATATATATATCATTATTAGGGATTGGTAATTGTAATTTGTAATTGTAATCGATTGTAATTGATATCATTTATTCAAGTAATCGACAGTAGTCATCTGTAATAGTCAAGATTTTCAATTACAGGTAATCGTAATTTAATCGACCACGTCAAAAACTATGATCACTTTTAAATTAGTAAAACATGTAATAAAATAGAATCTAGATTAAATGAAATTCTACTTCAAGTTATGTTAGCTCTTTTCATAGGTACAAACACAATAGATTGTATCAATTATTTCTTGAAATTGTATAAAATTGCCTTATTTAGATCTATTGTTGTCCCCAAGCTGTCTTTCTTCAACCAGATTTTCTGACAATTTTTTTTCTATATTTCCAGGCATTTTACATAGAATTAACTGTCTTATTTAAAAATAATAATACAATGCACTTTGTTTAAGGTTTATTTTAAATGCTAGAAAATGCTATTTAAAATACAGTTTTTCTCTCTGTAGGATTTGATTTAGGCAAGTGTTGCAAATTCATTTTTCAAAACAGCTTAGAAAAAAGTTAAATATTCGAATCGTCATTATCTTAGGATTTAAAGTCTTTCTGGCAATAGACCAATGCATTCAACTTCCTTTTAGGTAATATATACATTGTACATGTATCCAAGTTGACTTTGACATTAAAACATATATTGTTTAAAATTTTAGATAGAGAATAAAGAGTTTTCTTCCGCCTTAATTATGTTTATTTATTTAGAGTCCACTCAATATTATACGTGTATCGTCCTATAATTAGAAGCTTTAGTATCTGTAATGATGGAGATTATCTGAAAACAATAGAGATTATCCAAACAAAAACATGAACCCATACCTGTAATAAATTTTAAATTTCCAGCTTATAAATTAGCTGCATGGACAAACTATTCAACTTTTATATTTTTTCTAATTATAACATCGTAATGATTAGAATAGATATTTGACAATAATGTGTAAAAAACGAATACTTTTCACACTAAATGTCTATATATAGAACTTCAATCATACGAATTTTGTTCAGAAATATTATGTTAATGCTGAGAATATTTCAACGACTAAATGCATATTTAGCGTCATTAACACATACAGGATTTATATATTGAATTATTTCTACTAAAACCAATATTGAAAAATCCTTTGACTCCGTGTAAATGTGATTTATGTGGTTTAACTACAATCCTATAAATCGGTTAAACTTTAACTCAAATTCTATACAAATCGAACATAACTTATTCAAAGTTTAAAGATATTTCGCAAAACATATGTGTCAAGCCTTCTTTTAAACATCTAAACTACATGACTTAGACTATGGGTTTTTGTACGAGTTTGATAGTCTGATACAAGTTAAAATGTTATCTCCAGAAAAGTCAATAGTAACGTTTTTTTACTTTCAGTCGTATGTTAATGCTAAGAGTGAGATACACATAGTTCAGAGAAGCGTACAAGGCTTCGGGAACGTTCTTACACTATCTTAACGTTCTCGTAAAGCGTTCGTAGGTTTTATGTAATATGAAACTTTAGAATGATATGTTTTCATGATACAAGCTCTAACCTTCTTTTCTGATACAATCAACCAATTTCAACCAAGCTTTGAATTTAATACTGAATAATAAGTTTGTCAATGAAATTCAACAGCAATCGCAGCTAGGATTAAAATATAAAATATGGTCAAAATTTGTAATTGTTTTATTTCTTGAAAACCATAACGGATGGAATAAATCCGATAGTGTCAAAATGGTCACAATATCAAGATCTAACCATTTCCTATTACCACCATAATTATCAAAAAACTTTTAAATGAATTATAGCCCTATCAATCCGATTTTTTACTTTTTTCGTGCTTTTGTCTGTAATTGATAGACAGAAACTGTTAATAGCAAAATTGATGCAAGATCTAAAAGCTTTGCCTTATTATGCAATTTTTAGACGAACTCTTATGAAAGATATTGTCAATGAATTGACATTGTTTCGTGGGTTTGCCTTTTATCTCGAAAACCTTAAAAAACACTTTAATAGAAATTGTTAACAGCAATATTTATCAGAAATATCAGATCTACAAAAAATACAATATTACAAAAGATTAAACAGCCATTATAGAGTTATACTACTTCAATGATAGTATTTGTGACATGTTTTCATGTTTTGACTGTTATCTCGAAAACTGATAGATAGGCAAAATCTGTTCACAGCGAAAATGATCAGACGTAAAAGTTCTGAAATATTCTATGACCAAATCCTTTAGAAGATTTCTTCTAGAAGTCGTTGGCCTGAGGACTTGTACTGAGTAATTTTAATACAATTTTGGGTTTTCATATATTTTTAATAGACATAAACTGTACGCATCTAAAATTATCAGCAACGAAGGTGAACAAAAATGTAAATGACTGAAATCATCACTGATCTCTTCTAAGAGTAATGTCCTTAAATCTTCAATCCATGTTTGCGTATTCTATTGAAACGTATAATAGATAGAACGAATCTGTAACAAAAAAAAAATATTTGAATACAAGGTGTTCAAAAATGATGATCATGATTTTTTTGTTTAGAACTTAAACATGATCCTGGTACTGAAGAGACAATAATTAGTTCCCCTTGATTTAACTTGACTACTATAAAGCTGCATATTTGAAAATACACAATTCATTTTCTATTTTTTTTTTTTTTAATTTCTTAGAATAAAACATAATATATGTCTTCTTACTTGAAAACTACAACAGCCTTTGTGTTAGAGATATGTAAACTATTAAAACAAGTCCAATAATTAAGTGTTGACCCGAAAGCATTGAAGTTGAAGACAGAATTTTGTAGCGTTGTAGTTTTGATGTTGAGATTGGTTGATTGTTCAGAATTGCCTGATACCGTTGTAAAATTATATTCCCACACTGTATTCTTCAGATCATCAGGCAAAGAACAGATTGCATCTGAAAGTATAGATGTATAAATCAGATCTGATGAGAATCAAGGCCTTTGTACGATAGTAGACCTAGTGATAGCTAAGTCTGACTACGGAGGATAAACAACTGAATATTTCTTTATGCTTTCGGTTTTAGGATTATATCGATATAATGTTGAAAGATTAGTAATAACAAAAACGTTACAATTCTAATGCAACAGATGCACATTTCGACAATTAATGTCTTCTCAGTGATGCTCGAGGCCAAAATATTTTAATATCCAAAATCAAATACAAATGTTGAAGAGCGAATGAAACTAAAAATAACCCAAAGTATAGCCGAATCCGGATAAGGAATCATAGCTTTGCATGAGGGAGATATATTTCTTAATTTCAAAAATTTCAAAAATTTTATAATTGCAAATTTTAATCAATTAATATCTGTATTTGCATGCCAGTTCCGAAGTACAAGCTACGTAGCTGGTGATAACATCAGAAACAAACAGTTTATCAGAAGATATCTCATCCCAGTGGTAGTATTAACATAAACGGTACCAATTTTAATGCACCAGATGTTCATTTCGACAATTAATGACTTC